ACAATAAATCAAAAATTAAGCAGGCGTGGTAGCGCGCGCCTGTAATTCCGGCTACTCGGAAGGCTGGGGTGGAAGGATCGCCAGAGCCCAGCAGGTCAAGGCTGCAGTGGCCAGGAGTGCCCACTACACTCCAGTCTGGGTGACAGAGTGAGACTCCAACTCAAAAAAAAAAAAAAAAAAAAGATCCTCCTTTCTCAGGATCTGCGGTGGGAATCCACAAGCACCTCTAGAATAGCAGGGTGTGTGGGCACTGTCCCATCTCGTGATCACAGCCACCATTCCACCATGCCCACTCCCCTGAATCAGTGAGAGGAGCCTGTTTTTTCAGCACAGCTTCCTGTTTAGTTAAAATCCATAATGCAGAAGATGAATTATAACACAAAAGCTCAACATCTCCACTTCTGACATTTGTGCTGCTAATTAGTTTCTGCTTGGTGTTATATTCCATCTTCTCTGTTTTACTTTGAAAAAAAATACGAAAGTGTAAATACATTTTTACATATCCAGATTTCCATTTCAGTTTTCAAAAGGAAAAGTATATAATTTCAGTGTCTGCCCTGAGCATGTGACCAGTGTTTAGATGCCACATTTATATCCCATTATATTGTATTTTATTCTGGTAGCGCTATAAGCGTAAGTTGCTCAGAGGAGGCTCTATTAAAAACGAAATCTTAAAAACAATGAGCACTTGATTTTCAAATATCAGTTTCATCACAGATGTAAGAATTCTCACCTCTACCCACTGAGCCTCTACTGTATGCAGAGATCTCCATGGTATGTAAGAGATGATGGCCAGCTGTCTCCTTATTTACATCTGACCAAACCTGGGCTCCTGAGGTACAGTGCCTGGCCAGTTCTCCATAGCTAGAATGTGGTGGAGCTAGGGTTCCATCCTAGGTCTAACTTCAGAGCACATGTTTTTTTCCCTCTACATCTCACGCTTTTGTCATGCTTTAATTGCCAAACATACTTTAACAATTCGAGCAAAATAATTTGAACTCATTTGAATATTAGACTTTGCATTTTCTTTCAAATCATATTGATATATAACTTTTTATCAGCTGACATTTTTACAAAGACTTCCTCCTAGGACTTTTCTGTGAAAACTGCTGGTAGTTTTAGAAGTTTCAAGGGTAACCTGCCTGCCTCTGATTCCCTCTAACACCCCGGGACGGATGCCCTAGTAGGCTGCCTCTGACCCTTCTTCCTCTCTTACCTGAGCCTTCAGGTGCTGAGGCTGATAGAGTATCTGATAACAGGCTTTTCTTATTCTGTTCAGTCAGTATTGAAGTGCCATTGATTACTTCTTCCCATACACTTCTGGTGAAAATTCACTGTGTAGCATAAATTACGTTTATTGGCAGATTTAATTTCCAGCAAGAGATCAGTGAACTTGTTACACTTGAGTATGTAAGTTTTGGACTGGGTGAAATTATACAAATATGAATTCTGATTACTACCTATTACTCCACTGGAAGAGTCCCCAAGTCCTGCCAATGTTGCCTTCCCTATAGTTCTCAGCTCCATTCCTTTTTAGCTTCCTTTCTGCACTTGTCTAGCTCGAAATCATATTCACTCCTACCTGACTGACTATGGCAACTGATCACCTTGCCTCCATACTCCAGAGAGCCAGGGACAATGCCCTAAAACAGTCTGTCCATTTGTTTCACTGGTGCTGCTGAAAACCCACTGGTGACCCCATCTGCTGGTGATTCCCAGCCCTTGGTGCCCGCCCTGTCTCACCTCTCCCCTGCCCACTTGCCTAACCCTGGATGACTTGGAGCTTCTGCAGAGGCCCTGTGTGTTTGTCCATGCTGTTGTGTCTTCCTCTTTTCTACCACCCTCCACCCCCAGCTAACTCCCTGTCCTCCTATAAGACTTCTCAGGTGTCAGCTTCCCCGAGGAACTGTCCTTGGTGGTCCTTCCCTACTCCAGGCCAGCTGCTTCCTCCTTGGCATCTCCAACACTACTTTCTCATTTGCTTTCCTCTTACTGCTCTTCGTATTTGATTCTCAGTATTCATATCTCTGTCCCTTGAACTAGCTTGTGCTCCTGACAAAGCCTGAACTGAGTACAACTGCCCTTCTGGCCACTCAGCAAAGCAGGGACACTAATGAGGGAAAACACAGAGCAAGAACTTCCTGTTGGAGTGAATTGACCTATGTCCTGGGGCCAGGCATAGGTGAAAATGTGGCTGCTGATCTTAACCTGAGCTTGCATCCAGGGCTGTGCTCAGAACTCCTGCTGAGAGCAAGGCGGGGCTTTCTGCTGGACTGTCCACTGTGACTGGGCCCAGTGGTTAACATCCATGGCTCTGAACTCCAGATGACTCTGTTCCCTTCCCTCAATGGTATGGATGCTTTCACTGGAACACACAAACAGACTAGGGACTTCAGAGGGGTGGAGCTTCTTGCCCTTCATCTTCCGTCTTCCTCACGCTGCCTCAGCTGTGCATTGAAATGAGCACTGGGGACAGGGCACAGGACACATAGCCTCCATGCATAGCAAAACATAGTCAAGCTACAGAGGGCAGAGGGGGAGGCCATCTGGGGCCACCTAGCCCAAATATGCAGCCTTTTAGGAGACTTTGCTGGGGCTGATTTCTTTCTTTGTTTGTTCACATGACCGTGTGCAGCTGAACCACAGACCTCCCTTCTGAGCCTGTGCCTGACATGCTCCATGGGTGCCGCAAGGCTTCCTGCCCAAGGCACTCAGGCCCATGCAGACTGCAGATCACACATGCCATGTCTAGATCGGGCTCTACCTACAGTGCAGGAAGTCTTTCTAGTGCGCCTCAGTTGTTCAGGCAAAACATGGTCTAGCATCTTGAGGTCTGGTTTTGTTTTGTCAGTGACAGGCAGGAACAGGTGGTGTAGACAGTCCATGAGATCACTTATCAAAGTGGTCAGTGAACCCCGAAGCTTCAGGTCTGCTGGCGTCCCTAAGACCTTCTGGTTCTTGCTAGCCCCAGGCCCTGGTGTCTGTCTGTCTTGGCCAGGTGTCAGCAGGAAGGCCTCCTGAAGGGGGTGTCTCTTTGTCCTTCAAAGCCATGTGTCCTTGGTAGATGGCTTTGCTTGGTCACAGCGTGGTCTACAAAGGTGTCTGCATTGTTCCTCTGCACAGTGATGTCACCAGCAAAACTCAGATGTTCTAGGATGAAACCTGCATACACATACATACATACATACATACATACATACATACATACATACATACAGATGCATCTGTGTAAGATTCACTTCCTTGTCAGAAATAAGGAATTTATATATTAACAGTGATTAGCTTCTAGTCAAGAACTCTAACATTTTACTACCACAATTTGGAATCAGGCCTAATTTGTCAAGTGACTAAAAGTGAGGTTTTTCAGAAATTATTAGCTAATTTTTTTCAATGTAGGATTTATAGTTACAATTAGTACATCATAATGATGTTTCCAGGATAAAATACTAATGGCTCAACTTTTCTGGCCACAAATGTGCAACATATATCAGTTTATTTTTGGAGAGCTGAAAAATTAACTACTGTAAATAAAGTCCCCAAGAAGATTTCTCCGGGAAAGAGGTGAACTTACAGTAATATGGTTGATATATTATTAATTAATAACTATGACCAGCCGCTGCTTCAATTAAAAGGACAACGGATGAAAAGACCTAATAGAAAAGATATGCTGGATGTTAATCTTACAGGCACTGAGGTCTGTCAAAATAGACTAGGGAAGGCAGTTTCTGAGTTGTCTGCAGGAGGCCTCTGTATTAGAGATGTCACCAGCAGCTCCTTAATCTAGAAGGATTTACTGAACACTGACTACATGTGTACCTTTGCTTGCCAGTAATAGAAACCAACTTCAGTAGCTTAAGGAAAAGAAGAATTCCTTGGAAGACTGCAGTGGTCTCTGAGAACCCAAGGACTTGTGTGCTGATAGGCTGGAGAAGTTGACATGGGGCTGAGACCGCAAGTCCCAAGAGTCTTGTCACACTCTCAGCCCTTGTGCCCATTCAGACAGACTGGCATCTGTGTCTCCATTTAGAGGAGGGAATCCAATTGACATATCTGTCTAAAAGGACAGGCGCAAGTCGTATTGACACAGCTGTGAGTGTGATAAAACAAGAAGCAGATTTCTTTGGTGTGGACCATGTATAGTGGGGCAGGCCCAGGCAGAAAGGTGGCTGTGAAGATTCATCAAGGAGGCATCAGGCAGGCTGAGTCTCCAGGGTGAGCAAGTCTCCAAACACGTTATGAGAGGGGACATCCCAGGCATGGGGAGGAGCCTGTGCAGAGGCCAGTGTGGCAGGTGAGAGTGGGCAGCCTGTGGGGGCAGTGGAGTGAGGTGAGGCTAGACTAAGAAGCAGAAGGTGGGAGGGGAGGCGTGGAAGAATGGGGACCTCAGTTGGATGTGTACTCAGCTCTGATCTCCTGAGGTTGGTCTGCTTTGTGAAGTACCAGCTTTTTATCCCCCATCCCATCCTTCCAGGGTAGGAATGACCAGAGCCTTTGGGAGCAGCTTTCACACAAGGTCACAAGACCAAAATTCCCCCCTCCAGGAAAGACCTCTCCCCTCCCAGCAGGAGCCAAGGCTGTGGGTGTGGCCTCCACGACAGCATTCCTCTTGTCTCTTCTTCCTATTGTTCAGTTATTTATTTGACTTTAAGCACATTATTTTCTTTTTAGAGTAATAATATGGAATTAGTTGGCCCTTTCCCTTTAAAATGCCACCTTTCCCTTGTAATTGTCATGTAGAAGTAGTTGTGTAAAGCCTTCCTAAAGTAGCGGGCCCCTAAACGCACTCCAGTGTGGACTGGGACCTAACTAGCTACTTGGTCTTTTTTTCCACTGTCCATTTTTATACCCAGCCTGTGATGAGAAAATGAGCTACTCCTGGGAAGCACGGGTGCCTCCACCCACTCTCGCCTGGGTTGGAATGGCAAGGGGAGATGTCCATGGAGGCCTCCTCTTGGTTTGCACACAGAGCCACCTAATGCAGCCTTTCTCTCTCTCTGCAGGTCATGCAATATTTAAACTCACCTATCTAAGCAATCACGACTATAAACACCTCTACTTTGAATCGGACGCTGCTACCGTCAATGAAATCGTGCTCAAGGTGAGTGTTCCTTCCAGACCTGGGGACTAGTCAGTGGGTCTAACTTCTGCCTGGGCCCTGTTTCAGGCCTGGCTGCAGCCCCTCCCTCCCCAAGACTGGACAAGGCTGCCAGGCCCAGTGCTGTAGAAGAGGGCTGCACTGTTCACGAGTCGCCCACAGGTGAGTGCCATGCCCAGAGCCTCACCAGCCTCAGCTCAACTTCAGCCAAAGCAGGGGCTCCTTTGACTTCCTCCCAGCCTTGATGATCCTGCCTCTTCCTGTATTTACTCATTCCTTTTACGCCCCTTGTATTTTCCTCCACCCATTCTCAGAAGCTCCTTGAGGCTCTTGGAACAGACTCTGAGGAAATTGTTACCGTTTTAAAGGCACCTGAACTGTACTCCCTATGTTAGCAACCTATTCTAAACCTACCCAACTTTATGCTGGAATTATTACATGCCTCAACAATACAGAGCACTCCTGTGCTCATGATACCCACAGTGACAGACCCAGTCCCTGTCCCCAGAGAGCTTTTCCTCTATCATAGAAGATAGGCTGAACAGAAAATTACAAAAAAATTGTTCAGTAGTCTCAAAGGTATGAGTGTATAAGGGTAAACTGATTTGGGTGGTGAGGGTGAGGAGGCAGGAAGAGCTGAACCCTGAAGGATGAATGCAAAAGCACAAGTGTTTACCAGGTAAGGAGTAAGAAGGCATTTCAGGCAAGCAGCCTGTGAAAGGGCAAGGCAGGTGACGGGGAGGCTGGAGCCACACAGGACCTTGCAGGGCAGGTCTGGTTGAGAGAAGCTCTGCTCGGTGTCGAAGTCTCCTGGGGTCTTGTCGGTTCAGGAGGTCTAGAAAAAGACCCAAGATTGTGTGTTTCTAAGAAACACCAGGCACCGCCTAGGCTGGCGCCCAGGTGCCATACTCTGCGTAGCCCTGGACTAGGGGTGCTCAGCCTCTTCCAAGCTGAGAATCCTTTCTTCAAGCCAAATCCTATGTGGATTGATCAGATAGGTAAAACAGCTACTCCGGTTACAACCGGAGAGGGCTCCCCTGCCCCGAGTTGTGTGAGCCTGGCCAGTCACATCAGCTTCCCCATCTGTAAAGTGGGGATGGTGGTACCTATATGCTGCCCCACTCCCAAGGGCTGCTAGAGTGCAAGTCAAGTGAGATACGCCAAACCCACCTGAGTTATCATTCATTCTTGTCTTAAGAATCAGAGTCATCAAGTAATAATAAAAGTACCTAAGATATATTGAGGGTCTGCAAGTGCAGGACCTGGGCCAGATGCTTCCTGTGTCCTGTCACAGTGCATCTTCACAGCTCTGTGATGCAGTGATATAAAAACATGCCCATTTCCTAGGTGAAAATGGAGGCCCAGAAAAAAAAAATTTAGCCAGGATCATGCCTCTGGTAAGCTGGCGGAACCAGACTTGACCCCAAGCTTGACAGATTCCAGACTTGTATTCCTAATTCCCCAGGTGTATGTAGCCTAAGAGTCAAGTGGGAAATTTCAACAAAATGGATTTGCTGTACAGGAACATTTGGAGATAAAGCTGCTAGGACAATAGTTTGGTGCCAAGACAGAATAGCATGGTTAGATAGATGAAAGGTAGAGTGTAACCGGGCTCAGTGGCTCAGCCTGTAATCCCGCGCCTTTGGGAGGCTGAGGTGAGTGGATTGCCTGAGCCCGCGGGTTCGAGACCCACCTGGGCAACTTGGCAAGACCTCATCTCTACAATAAATCAAAAAAATTAGCCGGGCGTGGTAGCGCGTGCCTTTAGTTCCAGCTACTTGGAAGACTGACGCAGAAGGATTGCTGGAGCCCAGCAGGCGAGGCTGCGGTGGCCGGGAGCGGCCACAGCACTCCAGTCTGAGCAACAGAGTGAGACTCCAATTCAAAAAAAAAAAGAAAGAAAGAAAGAGTGTTCATAGACCACCCAGATCAGAGGCCCCCATGGACCAGGGAGTGGGGACAGAGTGCCTGCCCAGGAGTGCTTGCAACCAGCGAGCTCAGTGTTATCTGCCAAATCAACACAAGGAACTTGTGCAGAGTGTTCAGGGACTAGGTAGAAAAATATTCCTTTGTACCGTGAGGGCCAGACTTTTTTTATGGCCAGCATTAAAATATTCAAGACTTGAGAAGGAGTCTAGTAAAATTATAATCCTGCGTTTGACATCAAAATAATTTTCACAACAGCAGATTGATGACAGAAACACAGGTTTATGACTTCAGTATGAGACTGTGGAAGATCAAGTGCAAAGAAATCATTTTGCAGGACCAAATGCTCCCTCAAAGCAGATGCTTTTCTGCAAAACCCCTGAGGCCTGTCGCCTCCCCTAAAATGTCTGTTTTCATATCAAAATATTTGTAGAAATATCACATCATGCACAAGACTCCAGAAAAGTTGTAGCATCCCCAGGCCTGATTTACTTAGAGAGCTAATGATCATGATCCTGATGGAAGATTAAACTTCACTTCTCCTCTCTCTGACTTTTATAAGCAATTTAAATACTTGGCTGTATTCACCATTCCCACAGTGCCGAATGTGCCTTTGTGAGCTTTGCACCAACGTTAAGTGACTGAGGTCCCAGTGCTGTGTCCAGAAATTTAGCAGAAATGTTGTTTCCTCAGAGGCTCTTTAGGGGTCAGTTTAGACCAAAGTAACACATGTTGTTCTAGAATTCAGGAGTTTTACATAAAATGAGAGCTTTAGATGGAAATTAAAGGGAGAAAATAAGAGCCAAAGGCTGATGTTGAGAAAGTAACATGAATAGGCAACCCTCTATAAAGTGATTTTATCTCATCTTTTTCTGCTTGTAGAACTTTTAATGTCACCCATTTATTGAGCACTGACCACATGCACGACGTTTTGTGTCCATGGTCTCATTAATCCTGACTGCCCTGCAGAATGTAAGCATTGTTGTCCCCATTTTATAGATGAAGTGACAGAGGCCCAAGGCCACAGAGTGCACAAGGTGGAGTCTCTGCTCGAACCCAGTCCTGCAGAGCTCCAGGACTGCCCTTTTCCTACTGAGATATAACTGAGCTAAGCCATGTGTGGTCCCTAATTCTGCAGACTTCCAGATGAATCTCAGAGGAATCACTGGGCTCTTCAAATCAGGTTCTTCTCATGATCGAGTGATGGAGGCTGTGGCTTTATTGACCATGAAAACTCCCGATATTTTTATGCCGTAAGCTGTAAAATGCATTGAAAGTGAAACACTCTATAGTGCATAAAATTGTGCAAGTTTTAAGCCACAGCATATTAGCCAGCTAATGGCAGACCAAAGGGCGTTTTTATCTTTTGATTATTACATTAATCTTCCATTAAAATTATCTATGTGATTATCACAAAGCACTGAAGATAATAAATTTAGGAAATAGTTGGCTTGTTAAGGATCATTTTAAAATCCTTTTGTCAAGTCATACATGCCAAAAATACACTGAAAACACTAGATTGGCTGAGTGTGCAAACAATATAATCCAAAGACTGTTTTTATTAAGAATGATAAAACCTCTGATTTCCATACGTTGTGTTGTCCCAAATCGTCAGCCCAGCCCTGCGGCCCTCATGATTTATTGCTCTCAGCTGGCAACTTGGCGAGGCAGCGGGCCGCGTGTCAGGTCTTCTGTCCTCGGGCACCAGCCTTTAGCGCCTGCTGCTGCCGACCATCAGAGCAGAAAGGCGGAGGGACAGCACTGCGTCCTGGCCCATCTGAGGCACTGTCTCGTCCTGCCTCCTCCAAGATCCTCCAGTTCCCTGTCAGAGTCAACAAAGCCTCTCTCCCTCTGGGCACAGGGCACATGCCCCTCAGAGTAGAATCAGAGAGGTTGGTTCTCTAGTGGGAAATATTCGGGTTTCTAGTCATGACTTTTAGATGCTTGCAGGTAAAGGGAAATGGTGCTGGGGTGGTGAGAGGATTGGTGTCTGAAGAGGTGAGGGTCTGGGGAGCGGGAAGGGACACTCTCCAAGGTTGATGACCTTGACAAACGACATTCTCATTCTGTGCCTTGATTTTCTCACCTGTGCAATGGGATGACAGCAGCGTCCATCTCATAAGGTTATTGTGAAGATTCAATGAGTTAATGCTTAGAAAACACTCTAAGCAGAGCTGGCTGCTGGCATTGATCTCATACTGCCATGGGCTCACCCCCAACATTGGGTTGAGTATCTGACTGTAGCATCCTTCCCTGGCTCCTCCCACCTCACTAAGCCAGGCTAAGCTGTCGCAGTTCCCTGCACACCCCCTGCTCTGTTCCACTGCTGTGCCTTAATGCATGCTGGTTCTCACCTGTCCTTTGCGCACTCAGAAACTCCAGTGACCAGGCACTGTGGCTCACACCTGTAATCCTAGCACTTTGGGAGGCTGAGGCAGGAGGGCCACTTGAGGACAAAAGTTTAAGACCAGCCTAGGCAGCATAGCAAGACCTCATCTCTACAAAACTTAACAACAATAAAACTGACCGTGTGTAGTAGCATGTACCTATAATCCCAGCTACTCAGGAAACTGAACTGGGAATTGCCTGAGCCCAGGAGTTAGAGGCTGTAGCAAGTTGTGATTGTGTCACTGCACTACAGCCTGGGCAATAGAGCAAGACCCCACTGTAAAAAATATATATATATATGATAACTCCTGCATATCCCTCAAAATGTAGGTCATTCATTCCCTTTTCAAGTCTTTCCTACTCCACACCTTCCTACTGCCCAACTCATTCCTGTAAGTGCCTCCTGTACCTGTTGCAGTGCTTGTCCTGCTGTTGGACACTCGCTAGCCAGGGAGCTCCTCAGGACAGGGACTGGGTCTTACTCATCCCCCTGGCCCTTGAACCAAGCACGGGGCCAGGCTCAGGCACAGCATTTACTCAATGCGGAAGGTGCTGGTAAAACAGAGAGCAGTAGGTATGCACGTGGCTCTGGGAAGATGCCCTAGGCATGCGTGAAGCAGCAGCATGCAGAGACCCGAACAATAACTGGGAGGCAGCCCCAGCTCTGCCGCTCTTCACGCGGGGCTGTTGCAGCCCCTATCACGGCCACCCGACTGTCCTCTCTGAGCCTTGCTTTTCCTTTTGTCAAGTGAGTCCTGACTGGCAGGGTGTCCGTGAGCACTGAAGGAGATACCACAACCGGAAGTTCTGCATCTGACTGACTGGAGCCTGAATCTAGAGCCCTTTTTGGGTTGATTTTTGTCCCTGTGGTAGTCTCGTCTTTCAGATGAGGAAAGTCAGGCTGGGGAGGTTCCATGCAGGCCCAGGTTGCAGAGCAGGCCAGGAGCAGGACCAGGCAGCCCAGGGCACAGCCTCTGGGAGGCAGCTCATGCCAGGGAGGGATTCAGTCTCAGGAACCTGAAAAGCCCACCACTCACTGACCAAGAAGCCTGTCCACTTGTCTTCTCCAAGCCTCCGTGTCCCTGTTGTCAAGCGAGGGCTATGGGCCCTGCCACCCTCCCTGTTTCTGTGATAACTGGACTCCATCCACAGAGAGCAACTGGCACTGAGGCACCCAGCCCAAGTTGGCCCTCCCCCTCCGCTGCCCTGGGTGAGCGGGGAGTGACTGGCAAGTGACTGGGCTGTGTGCTCCCACCTTCTAGGTGAACTACATCCTGGAATCACGAGCAAGCACTGCCCGGGCTGACTATTTTGCTCAGAAACAAAGAAAACTGAACAGACGTACAAGCTTCAGCTTCCAGAAGGAGAAGAAATCCGGGCAGCAGTGATGCCTCCAACCTCAATCTGCTGCTGTAGCTCAGAGCCTGCCTGCCAGGACCAGGTGCCCTAGAGCCCACCCTATGTCCTCCAGTCCTCGGGGGAGGCCAGTCCCTGGCTCATGGGCGCAGGGCTGGTGGGTTCTTGGGGAAGGTGCAGGGGGCACCCCTAGGAGGGTGCGCTGGGGACATTGCCATGGAACCAACGCCTGCTTGGCAACGGCTTTGATTAGTGATGCCCGAAGCCAGACCGCCCTGGAGGAGCCATGTGCTGCCCAGCCATCTTCACTGCCTGGCACCCCTGCCGAGGATGTACATAGCTGTGCCCAGACATTTCTTTGCAACTTGATCAAATTTCTTAAAGCAAACAAAGAACAAAATGTACACTTCTGTTTTTTCCTTTTAATAAACAGGTGTACTCTTTATCATGGTTGGTATGATGGACCATTCTTTGGGGTGAAGGATTATTCCCTTTAAAATTTGTTCCCATACTGAGCAGGCAGGTCAGCAGAGCTAAGGTTTAATTTCTCAGAAGAGATGTCTAGTTGATAGTTTTTACTATGCCATTTGTTTAAATGAGCACATTTGCTTTGAGGATAGTGTCTTACTAAAAGTTAGGAGCAGGGACTAGTGGTGTGTGTGCAAAGTTGTGTCATTTTCCCCTTCCACATGCCCCAGCATCTCTGATCGCAGAGCCAATTTCAGAGCTGTGCAACTAGAACTGCGTGAAAGCCCACAACACTGAGAGGCTGCACCCAGGCATGCCGCACTCCGGCCAGAGGGAGTCCTTTCCTTCTTCAATAGCAAGTGTAGGTTTCGGCCGACATTTCCACCTGCATGTGGACTGGCCCGGAATTGGAGTCCGCTTCGCTGCCTTTGCAGGGGCCTCCCTTCCCTGTCCTCCTCTCCTTCCAGCGCCTGCCCCTTGGAGCAGGCGGAAAGCTGCTGTTACTCACTGTATCAGGGAAGAGGTGGGCGGGGGACCCGAGTCATGCCAGCTTCCCGGGTGGGAACAGGCAGGATCGACGCCCACTGACACCATGCCTCTGGCCAGCAGATGCCTCTGCGGTCCTCTACGACCGCTCCAGTCCCTCCTGCAGTGACAGCCTTTTGTACTGTCCCCGGCCAGGGCTGAGGACCAGCTGTTTCACTGAGGACCTGCATTTAAAACATTTTTTTTAATTATACAGGAAGAGATGTGTCTAAAACAGCATCTCAAAGTTGAGTATACTTCTTTGCACAAGGGTCATTTTAATGAATTCCTCTTTCATTCTGGTCATGGTTCAGCCAACAGGAACATCCTTTTCTAATGTCTTCCATTCCTACCCACCCTGGAAACAAAAGAAATTTTATTTGTAGCTTGCTATCTGTATTTGAATTTTTAGCAATTTTATATTTAGATATCTTTGAAAATGTAAATGACTAATTTGGTCATTATATCTTGTGACATATTCAATATTAAAATAAAAGTCATATAAATACCCTCTTTTGCATATTGCTTGAGTTCCTGCAGTCTGGAGTCTATAATACTGATATGACATTTGCTGGTGTTGATGTGGTACTGGAATGCATCCAGGACCTTCATTGGTACTGAGCAAGACAGGGTGACCCTCCCACTCAGTGACACGGAGATTCTCCAGTTACAGAGTCAACACTATTCTCTTACATTCCGTTGACATAAAACACCCATGTTCAGTTTAAGAAGCAATTTAAGGAGAGCACTGTGTAGCCACTGCCTAGGCCCAGCACACATCAATACCTTACCTTCAGTCTTTCTTAGGCCCCTCTCCCACCTGTACCTAGATTTGAAGACAGGACTGTGAGCTCCTCTAGGACACCAGCATTGTACACCCTCCTCAACACCAGGCTTGGCACCACGGGAACTCGGCACGTCCAAGTTAACCGAAGCGGCTGTTGGGCCCACTTCACTTTACCCGAGGTCTCCTGACCTGTCACCAGTGTGACCCCTCCCCAATGTCATACAAAAAGTCACTGTGTGGATAATTCATAACTGGGCCTCTGAACTCAGCTACGGGAAGTGTAGGAAGCCTGATAGGTTTAGGCAGTGGGTCCCTGGAGCCCTGGCCACCGCTGACTCCAGAGAGCTACCACCCATCTTCTGAGGACCCACTGTGCATCAGACAGGCTGCGCACCCTCCCTTTATAAATGTGCAGGCCCACAGAACTCACACAAGTGGCCTCTGGCAGGTCCTGCCGTCACCTCCATCTCAGAGCTGGGGACTCGAGGCTTGGGAAAGACACCTCCCTGACCCAAACACACCATGCATGTCTGGCAGGCACAGCAGCCCTGCTCTTAATCGCTGGACTGTGTGCCCTCCATGGTTGATGGCCCTGTGGCTCTGAACTGGTTTCTGCCTCTTGGACTCTCAGTTTCCTGACGTGAAGATAAAGATTCGTTTTAGATGATCTCCAGAGACCCTTCTGGGGATGTCCTAAATGTCTCAGAATCATAGTGAGTCCAACCTTCCCATGGTTTCTGTTTGCCAGACTTTGTTTTTTTGAGTCGGGATCTCACTCTGTTGCCCAGGAGGCTGGAGTCCAGTGACATAATCACGGCTCACTGCAGCCTTGACCTCCTGAGCTCAGGTGATCCTCCCACCTCAGCCTCCAGAGTAGGTGGACACTAGACACACCACCATGTCCAGCTAATTTTTTTATTTTTGTAGAGACATGGTCTTGCTATGTTGTCTAGACTGGTCTCAAACTTCTGGGCTTAAGCAGTCCTGCTTTGACTTCCCAAATTGCTGGGATTACAAGCATGAGCCACCACACTTGGTATGTTTGCCAAACTTTGCAGGAGCTGCTCTGCTTGTGAGGGAGAACTCTGAGCTGAGGCTGTTGGGAGGCCATTTAGCCCAGCCTCCTCCCCCAGGCCAGGAGTGCATGTTTCATCCCAGAGTCGTTGATCCTCTGCTTACATACCTCTGGCAACAGGGCACTCTGTGGCTTGAGGCAGTGCTTTTCCATATTGGCCAATTTGATCATTCTTAGCTGACCTGCACCGACAGCTGTGCACAGGAATACCGCCCAACGCTGAGGCCGGGCCACTCTGTGATTGCACAGCGCACCCTTCTCCCCAGCTGTGAGCTGGCAGCCGCCATCTGGCTCCTTTCTGGGTCCCAGGACAGTGTGCCCTACTGCCCCAGAAGGCTCTCCAGCTGTTTGGAGACCACCTGGACCTCTATCTGAGTCTTCTCTTGAAGAGAGTTTAAAAGGCTAGAGGGTGGGCCCCCCATCATGTGCCTGCAAACCTCCCAGCTGCTTCTGAAGGCCTCCACGCTCCCAGCTTGGGCTGCAGAGCATCAGGTAGAGAGGCCAGCAGAGGCCCAACTCGGCAAATACACCGCAGTTGAGGCCAAGAGATGGGCACATGGTCCTCAGGCCACACCACGGGGGACAGCAGGCCTGAACTGTGAGTTGCAGCAGCCGGGCCAGGGCACTCGAGTTGGGCCCTTAATCCCTGCTGGGGAGGGACGGACGCAGCCTCTGATGGGCCCTCTTCACACCGTGTGACCTGAACAAGCCCCTTCCCTCCCAGAGCTTGGGGACCCCAGTGACAAGGTGAATCACTGAGCCAAGGCCTGGAGGATGGGCAGGCTCCTGCGTCCTCCTGCCGTGACCAGGCATGGATCCAGCCTTCCCCAGTGGGGTGAGGTGGAGGCTGAGGCTTGGTCTGACGAAGGGGAGGACCAAAGGTGGGAAAAGGGGTTTCTGCCTCTGGCCAGCCGCCCATGTCTCATGCCCCAGTGCTCACATCAGCCTCTGGCTCAAGGGGCTGCCGCGGCCCTCCACAGGTCAGCCCTGGACCCCAACTCCTGGCAGAGGCTCCTGACACCTGACTTGCCAGTGCCACCGCAGGAGTGCGGTAGGAGGTCGGGTGGGGGGGAGAAGAAAAGGAAGAAGCAAGGGCCTTTCCCAGGCTTGAGGTCAGAGGCCTGAGGGCGCACACCTGACATCAGATCCCAGCTCCAGCCCTGGGCTGTGATCTCCAATGCACCACCGTGCATTCCTGCCTCAGAGGTGGGGATACTTGGGGAACTCTGCTGCGAACTCTCTGTGGGCTCTGTCAGGCCCTTCTGGGTGTGCAGGCTCCTGGGCCCCACTCCTCTACTTAGTGGGCTTGTGACCTAGTACCCCTGTGCCTCAGTGTCTGTGAAACAGAATAAAATGTCCATGCCCACCCTCTCAGGGGGAGTCAAGATTTAAAGGGAATGTATGCGATGCACAAATGCTTGATGAACGGCAGTGACAATGCTGATGTGTGTCATCTCACTCTGTCTGGTCACCTGGATGCCATGCTGTCCCCCCAGCAGCGCTGTCCCTGAGAGGAGACATGGCTGCACCCTAGCTGTCCCTTCCTGGAGCCCCGGAGCCCAAGACCGGCTGCTGCGTGCCCAGGAAGGGAGGCACCCAGGAGCCAGGCTCAGCCCTCTGCCCCAGGGACAAACAGCTCCCATCTGGGGGCCCTGCACCGTGGGCCTGCACCCAGTTCAAGTCCCAGAGCTGCCTGGGTGTCAGATAAGCACGCCTGTCCCAAATGTTCCAAGAAACATTAGGAGTTGCTTTTTATGCAAGACCTGCTTTTCAGTTACTAGCACAGCACACATTCCTGGATGGGAAGCCAAGGCCCAGGCTGAAGAAAGACTTGAAGTCAAATATGCCTGGCTTCAGCTACTGCACCCCACACCTCCTTGCTGGGGTGGGCTCACAAGGTGCTCACCCTTGTGCCTCAGCTTCCTCATCCATTAGATGGAGCTGCCATAACAACCTCCCCAGGTTAATCTGAGGATTTAAAAAAACCCAGCATGAGATCGGTGTCGTGAAACATGCCTGTAGTCCCAGCTACTCAGGAGGCTGAGACAGGAGTATTGTTTGAGCCTAGGAGTTCGAGGCTGTGGTGAGTCATAGTGGTGTCACTGCACTCTAGCCCGGGCAATAGGGTAAGACCCTGACTCAAAAAAAAAAAAATTTTTTTCCAAAAGCCTTATTCAGGAATAGTGGCTCACGCCTATAATCCCAGCACTTTGGTAGGCAGAGGCAGGAGGATCACTTGAACCTCAGTTCAAGACCAGCTTGGGCAACATAGCAAGATCTCATCTAGATTTTTCTTTAAACCAGCATGCCTAGGTATGTTCCCAAAGGAATGGAAAGCAGACACTCAGTCAGATATGTGCACACCAGGGAAGCTCGTGTGGGCAGAAGGTAGAAAGGGGGCTCCCGTGGACAGGGAGTGTTTCATGGGGATGGACTTTCTGTTTGGCTTGGGCAAAGTCCCCGTGTTCTAGAGATGTATGGGTGACAGTTACCCAACATTGTAAATGTACCTAATGCCGCGGGATTGTGTACTTAAAAATGGCTTAAATGTTTTGTAGACTTTACAAAAAAACAAAAACAAGCAAGCCCCAAAAACTGGTGTATACTTGACACCTGGTAGGTTACCCCTCTTCCGTCCTGGTCAGGTTCCCTCTGTCTCTGTCACAAGCTCCTCACCGCCTCTCCTGCAGCCTCTACCCGCCCAGCCCTTCCTCTCCAACTGATCAGGTCAAACGCCCCTCAGTGCCTTCTTAAGAAAGCAGACTTTGGCTGGGCATAGTGGCTCAGGCCTATAATCCCAGCACTTTGGGAGACTGAGGTAAGGAATGCCTGAGCCCACGGGTTCAAGACCAGCCTGGGCAACTTGGTGAGACCCCCATCTCTACAATAAATCGAAAAATTAGCCGGACATGGTGGCATGTGCCTATAGTTCCAGCTACTTGAAAGGCTGAGGTGGAAGGATAGCCGGAGCCCAGCAGGTCGAGGCTGTGGTGGCCGGGAGAGTGCCACCACCCTCCAGTCTGGGTGACAGAGTGACACTCCTATTCAAAAAAAAAACAGACCCCATGTCACAGATTGCACTCAGGTTCCAGCGCTGTCTCCTGGCTGGTGTGTCGCTGGGTGAGTCAACTTCCGGAGCCCAGTTTCTCTATTTCTGCAAAACAGAGAGTCACTGTCCTGAGCCTCAGTCTCCTCTTCTGTGGAATGGAGACAATACTAGCTCTTTCCAAAGGAGTTGTGAGCCAGGCTATACTTGACGACAAACAGCCCCCAGACCTCAGGGGATCGTGGTGCAAACACTTAATCTCGCCAAAGAAAATCAGTCAGGGTCCACCACCCTCCCCCATCTCCCACCAGGGCAGGTGGGACCAGGACAGCCAGAGGACAGAGCAGCAGCAAGGACGCCGTGGGCGGCAAGGGGCTCATGCCACATCCACTTCTGCACACGGCCCCTCGGCAGGCCCTCCCACGGGGATGCCTGCTCCAAGGGCACAGGGGCATGCAACCACCAGAAGACCAAAAGCCACAGGTGTCTGGGAAGCAGTCGTAATATCTGCTGCCCTGAGACGGCGCCACGCTACGCAGTCGTGCATTCACAGGCCGCGCAGAGGCCGCACCTGGTCCTGGTTCTCCACCTGAGACCCCTAA